ACGGAAACATATTTTTCTGTTAGATATATTTTTTTTTTTTTGAGACAGAGTCTCACTGTGTTGCCCAGGCTAGAGTGCCGTGGCGTCATCCTAGCTCACAGCAACCTCAAACTCCTGGGCTCAAGCGATCCTCCTGCCTCAGCCTCTTGAGTAGCTGGGACTACAGGCATGCGCCACCATGCCCGGCTAATTTTTTCTATATATTTTTAGTTGTCCAATTAATTTCTTTCTAATTTTAGTAGAGACGGGGTCTCGCTCTTGCTCAGGCTGGTCTCGAACTCCTGAGCTCAAACAATCCTCCCGCCTCGGCCTCCCAGAGAGCTAGGATTACAGGCATGAGCCACCGCGCCCGGCCTCTATTAGATATTTTTATAAACCTGTTTTACTCTTACACTTATTTGTATAGAGAAACTGTTAAAATTTCAAAGATAAACTCTCCATACATCCAACACCAAATTTCATTGTGATTTTATTGAAGACGATCTAATAACTATACTTACTTTGCAGTAAAATATGAACCAGTGCCTGGTACCTCCTGTCTGTAAGGATATTGCTTTATTTGCCAACTAGAGATCCATGAAAAGCTGCAAACTGTCCTAAACCTCACTCTTCCTGTTGCCTATTCTCTATTCCCTTCTCCAACACCTCCTAGAAAAGAGTCTAGAACAATTCACAGTGACAAGCTCACAGGGAATCATTTGAGAGCGCCAATGACTCTCAATGTCACTGATAGCTCTGAATGCTTCCGCCTTTCTGCTTTCTGTCCCCTCTACCTGGAATGTGCTCCTCTGAGCACATTCCATACTTTGGTCAGGCATCCATCGATTAACTTAAAAACAATTACTAAGGGCTTATGTCCCAGACAATAAACACATAAATACAACATGTAATGGGGTTTATGGTCTAGTGGACAAGATGGTTTCTAAAATAATTAAACCCATTTGAGGACTATCTATAATAGAGAAATGTACAGTGCTCTACAGAACTTGAAGGAAGAGTCCAGCTCTTCTTAGAGTAGTTAGGGGTGGTATCCATGATGTGGTGACATGAGAACCGAGTCCTGGAGAGTAGTAAGAACTCTTTGGTTGTGAATGATAATGGGAGAGCCAGACAAATCCTTTGAGACTATCTTCCCAAGTGCTGCTTCATCCATACGTGGGGTAAACTCCCTTGAATTGCTAGTGAAAGGCAACAGAGTCTAGAGGGTAATAATGGCCTGAGTTCCAATCCTAGCTCCATCATTTTCAAGCTGTGTGACAATGAACAAGTTTACCTTTCTGAATTTATTTCTTCATGTCTGCAAAACGCAGGAATAATAAATACCATGCAAGGCCATAGTAGGGATTAAATACTATTTAACATTTATGGAGGGCTTTACAAGCCTACACACCAGTTCATGAATATGCAGGTATAATGTCATACATAATACAATTTTTTTTTTTTTTTTTTTGAGACACAGTCTCACTCTTTTGCCTGGGCTAGAGTGCCGTGGTGTCAGCCTAGCTCACAGCAACCTCAAACTCCTGGGCTCAAGCGATCCTACTGCCTCAGCCTCCCGAGTAGCTGGGACTACAGGCAGGCGCCACCATGCCCGGCTAATTTTTTCTATATATTTTTAGTTGTCCGATTAATTTCTTTCTATTTTTAGTAGAGACGGGGTCTTGCTCTTGCTCAGGCTGGTTTTGAACTCCTGAGCTCAAACAATCCACCCGCCTCGGCCTCCCAGAGAGCTAGGATTACAGGCGTGAGCCACCGGCCCATAATACAATTTTAAATAGCTCAACAGTTGCTCTCAATTTACCTGCTTTATTTTAATTCACTGTCTATGGTCTGACTCCTCCGCAACCTCCTCCGCAACAAGGTAAACTCCACCAAGGGAGGGACTTGGCTTTGTTCATTATTAGACCCCATGATCTAGAACAGTGCTTGGCACACAGCAGGTATTCACAAAATATTTGCTGAATGCATTAATGTAAAATAAGAAATGTAAAACTGGAATAATATTAATCTTATAGGGCTTGTTAGGGATCAAATGAGGTAAAGTATGACAGAAAAACAAAGAGTCGTGGCTGGCACACAGACTGCATCTTCACCCCACTAATGCAGAGACAGAACGGGCTGGTGTGGGGAAGCAGATACAGAATCTCATGGGGATCCCAGAGCAGTAGAGCCTCTACCTTGGAGTGTCAGTTGTATATCCCACGGTACAGTGTTTCTAGGTAGAGAAACAGCCTTGGGATTTAGTAATAGTACTAGTTTTCTCGGTATCAGCTTAACAAAGATTCCTAGAAATTTCGAACATCAGCTTCTGGGCTAAGTGCAACACGCAGGCTTCTTTCTAGCTGGCTGAGCCAGTCAGATGATGTTTTATAATCTTTGTGGCAGATAGAAATACACCAAACTTGTTAGTCTGATTCCTCCTAAGTGAGCAAGCAGTAGGAATGACTGAGGACCAACAGGACTCTAAACAGTTAGTGCCACATCATCAAATATCCACTGGACATTGATCATTCTTCTTTGCCTAGATCTGTAAATCCAAAAGGATATTCATATATCAAAGTATTATTAACTCTGAAGAATGAAAAGACTTTGATACATAATGATGAAAAGAACAAGGCGGATAGAACAACTGGAGCAGAACTACAGAGATAAAAAGGCTAAGGTGGCACAATCCACAATTTTATTTGGCTGAAAAATGATGTGGACAAGTAGAAGAGAGAGGAATGGAAAGGTGGGCTGTGGGCAGATAACGGAAGGCTCTGGAGGACTGAGCCAAGGAGCCTAAACGTCGTATGATGTATAGATTATTGCTGAAATTTTCCAACCAGAGAACTGTGTATTTAAATTAACATGGTAGCAATCAAAGAATTAACATAGAGAAGGGACTGAAGTATGAACTCTTGGTTAAAGGATACCTAGAAAGAAACAATGAAGACAGAATCTTAAGTAATTAAGATGAGGGTTGAAACCAGATAGTTTGAACAATGACTCCAGCTTTTACCAACTGTGTAATCTTGGGCAAATTAGTTAACCTCTCTGGGCCTTTGTCTCCTAATCTGTACAAAAGGAGAAATTATCTTATAGGTTTGTTGCAAGGACTAAATGAGTTAACCTATATAAAAGAACAAAGAACCTAAGTCAGAGCCTGGGACACAGAATCTACTAAAGTTCTCATAAATGTCAACTAATTTTCTTCTTCTTCTTAATGGGCTTCTGAAATAGGATGAAAACAGTGAGGACATAAAGAAGGGGCTGGCTGGGAGAGGTAAAATCCAGAGGTTTGGTGATTATCAGTTGCTAAAAGAAACTGTGATGTTTAAAACCTGAACAGAGGATATTGATTCAAAGAGGTTAGTGAAATAGAAGCAGTAAGATTTGAAGGTTCTGTTGGGACCTATTTTGTTTCATTACTTTATTAACTAAAGACAGATGTCAGGAATAGTGCTCATTAACACAACAGGACATTTCAGTTCTTTCTCAAGCCTGGGGTGACGGGAGAGAGCTCATGGCAAGAAACACATGGGAAGTCACCTTTTCCTGGGGCTCATCCTGAAAGCCACTTTACAGGCTGGCAAGAAGATGAACCAGAGGGAGGGCCTGTGAATTATTCAAAGGCCAGCTCGAATCTCACCTATGCTACAGAACATTCTGCAGACCATCCGTTGGTACGCAGCGGTTGTTCTCTCCTCTGGACTCCCATGACTGTGGTAGATGGTGGTAGCCTTTGTCTCTTCAACTAGCTCTGTACCCAGCATGGGCTGACCAAGCACAAACACTGAACACTGAGTGATGCTTAGCACCCCGACATAATTTCTGGAAATCTGGGGCTACTCCACAAAGTCTTGAATTAAGCTTACAAAGATCATTAACCATTTATTTGGGAACATGCTGGCAACACTGAAGCTGTCAGTAACACGAGCTCTAGTACTGTGACCTTCTCGCCACTGTTAGGAAGTGAGAAGTAGCTTCTCAAGCTGTAATACTACGACAGTATCCTACACCATTCATCTTTATTGAGTATCTTTGCCAAATGTATAAATATAAGCACAAATACTTCTTGAGAAAGGGCTTATGGGATGCTTGTGCACAACAAAAGACAAGAAGTTACATTTTTACATTGGAACACTATAAAAAGAATCCAATCATCAACCAGGCAAAAGTACAAAACTCAGTTCCAGGAAAAACTGACTCAAAATAAATTAAAAAGGAACCGGGTCTCTTCTAAGTCAGATACTAAAGTTATAAGGAGACCGTTATTTTAGGAATATAACATATATACACATATATATCTAAGAACAGATTATATGTGTGTATATGAGTATGTATGTATCCATGTGTGCATATATATAGTATACGTATTTTAAGATACCAAACTTAGGTCCACGGAAGATGCTTTCTCTTCCCTGCCTTTCCTCTATTTTCCACATTTTTAAATAGGTAAAAAGGCATATATATTTTGAAAATATACCAAGGAAATTACACCACACTCATCACACCAGGAAATAGTTAAGATAATGATTATGCCAGTATCTTAACTATATTTTTAAAAAGAGACAAACACAATTTTATGTTAATTGTGAAAGACCAAAACCATTTAAAAATGATTCACATTTCCTGAACTACAAAAATCAATAAATATACAAAGTATATTCTGTTAAATTCTGTTGAATTGCAAAGATAAAGTATATGGCAACTTCAAAAGTAAAACTTTTTCATTCTTGATATGATTAACATGACATTAAAAGGGAAAAATAATTTGGAATTCTATGTGACCTGGTGAGTAATCTGGTAATTCACATCTCATCTAAAAAATAAAACCTATGAGCTATACTTAAAATTACATAATGATGGTAAAATTAAGCAAATTTGGGTAGCCAGAATGTTTTACTTTTATAAGCTATTCTAGAACAAAGTAATCATATTAAAAATGAAGATACATCTATGATTTTCCAACCCTCACAGAGCTTGCTTTGTGAGGTTTGCTACTTAGAGTTCCTTACCTGACACAGAGACTGCGTGTGTCCGCACACCTTGCTTTTCACTGTTGGCCAATCTGCAACAGACAGAAAGAAAGCTGTGAGCTCTGCGATCTTCCCTAGGACCAAACCACTTGGCCTCATCAAACAGGGAACTGCCTTGGATTAGGAGGATGATGCCATTTCCCAGGAAGACAAAATTTTAGATAACCGATTTTAAAAAAAACTGGATTTTGCCTGACACCCTTAAAATAGCCAGACTGCTTTAATGTTTTAAAGATCAGAAATTAAAATAGACTGAAGGAATATTAAATGCTGAGAAAGCCACTCATGATAGTGACTTAACACAATGCAATGTTTTAATGCAATACAATTTAATGTAGTGTGCAGGTTAAATAAAATTTTAAATTTAAATGTAGCTGGACTGTAAAAGACTTCCCAAGAATTATGAGAAAACCCCACACACCTGGAATTGCATTTTGCTTTCTAAAACATAATTCGAAATGCTGTAGTATGAATGGGCCTTCTTAAATTTATGGCATGTAAAAAAAAAAAATAAGGAAGTACATTAATATATATTATTATTTACAGAATGAAAAAAGGTAATCTTAGTGTATCTGGTTATTTGCTTCATGAAATGGCTTAAGAATATTAGTGTTTTACATACTTACTCATATAAAGTTTTGGCAAAAAGTTTTGGTGACATTTACAAAATACAAGTATAGTTTAAAATTTTTGGAGAGCACAAACACAGAGAAAAAGCGAGCCCCATAGTCTTTAGATGTCAAAATTACCTTGGTCTTTCTATAAAACAAAACCTTTAGGCCGGGCGTGGTGGCTCACACCTGTGGTAGCACTCTGGGAGGCCGAGGCGGGTGGATCGCTCAAGGTCAGGAGTTCGAGACCAGCCTGAACAAGAGCGAGACCCCGTCTCTACTAAAAAATAGAAAGAAATGAGCTGGACAACTAAAAATATATATGGAGAGAAAAAAAAAAAATTAGCCAGGCATGGTGGCACATGCCTGTAGTCCCAGCTACTCAGGAGGCTGAGGCAGAAGGATTGCTTGAGCCCGGGAGTTTGAGGTTGCTGTGAGCTAGGCTGACACCATGGCACTCACTCTAGCCCGGGCAACAAAGCGAAACTCTGTCTCAAAAAAACAAAACACAACAAAACAAAACAAAACAAAACCTATTCTAGATATATAAGCATTTACTGAATAGAAATTTTTCCTAGTATGTAGAATTTATACTAGGAAATATCGAAACTTAAAATAGTACAATAAGTTGAGTATCTCTTATCAAAAATGCATCAAAATGCTTGGAAGCAGAAGTGTTTTGGATTTCGTATTTTTTTGGATTTTAGAATATTTGCATATACACAATGAGGTATCTTGGGGATGGGACCAATTCTTAACACGAAATTCATTCACGTTTCATATATACCTTATACATATAGCCTGAAAATAATCGTGTGCCTAGGTTTTGGCTGTGACCCATCACATGAGGTCAAGTGTGAAATTTTCCACTTGTGGTGTCATGTCAGCCCTCAAATAATTTCCGATTTTGGAGTATTTTGGATTTGGAATTTGAATTTTCAGATTTCAACGTGAATATCATTTTTTTTTTTTTGGAGACAGAGTCTCACTTTTGTTGCCGGGGCTAGAGTGAGTGCCATGGTGTCAGCCTAGCTCATAGCAACCTCAAACTCCTGGGCTCAAGCGCCTCAGCCTCCTGAGTAGCTGGGACTACAGGCATGTGCCACCATGCCTGGCTAATTTTTTCTATATATTTTTAGTTGTCCGATTAATTTCTTTCTATTTTTAGTAGAGACGGGGTCTCGCTCTTACTCAGGCTGGTTTCGAACTTCTGAGCTCAAACAATCCACCCGCCTCGGCCTCCCAGAGTGCTAGGATTATAGGCGTGAGGTGAATATCATTTTTGAAAACTAGAAGTATTCAATATAAAATGGTAACCTCTATAATAATAATCATAGCATAAAGTCATAGAATTGAGTTCCTTTCACTGACTTCTCCAAATATTTGAAATCTTTTATTTTTATTATAAAAATTTAAACAAAGTTCACAGAGCGTCTGGGGATTCATGAAGAAAAAAATTTAACCAAAGTTGTTTTCTAACAAATCATCACTCTTCCATTGCAGCTACATAATTTATCATAACTATCTTTGAGCTATATTTATTGGGCAGTCATAGGGTAAACACTAATAATAAGTAGATTACATCATTTGCTTCCTTGTTCTGTTGCCAAAACATTAGGGTCTTCTCTTGACCGAACCTCAGTTTATGTATGCTACTATCTGTCAACTATCTCCCAATAGCTTGGATTTCACCAGCTATCTGATCAACAGCAATCATGGTGTTCTGCTGCTTTAAGATTTGTGGAAATTCTACTCTTTTTAAAGTATGCTTGCTTTATTTAGTTTTTCCAGTGTCTGTTACCACTTCTAACTTACTTACTACCTTCTTCACTTACTTTTATATCTGTGTTTACAATTCCTGTATTTGTGTGTGTGTGTTTTAAGAGATAGGTCTTGTGATGTTGCCCAGGTTGGACTTGAACTCCTTGGGCTCGAGTAATCCTCCTGCCTCAGCCTCCCAAGTAGCTGGGACTACAGGCACATGCCACTGTGCCTGGCTTTGATTCCTGTATGTTTTAATTCTCAAAATCATTCCTTAAGTTCCCACAACTGAAGATACTCTAAGTAAGCATTAGTTCGTGGTCTGACGTGGATGTCAGTAACCTCTATCAGACACTGTTGACACTGTGAAGCACGTTGCCCAAAGCGAAGAGGAGCTACTTAGCCACCCTCCCGCATCCACATAGCCATGTGCTCTGGCTACGTGCAGACCCTGCCTGCCAGTGACCTTACTGTGCAGTGAAGAATGTGAACAAGTAAAAAGTCCATTTTCAGAGGTACGGTAAGTATTAAGTAGAAGGTGTTACAGGAAAACATAGCAGGCTCTCCTGGCTTGGGGGTGGGGGGTGGGAGTCACAGGTGGTTTCCAGAGTAAGCAATGTAGGATGAGATCTGGAAGATGAGCAGGGCTTAGCAAGGAAAGCGGGCTGAAGGAAGAGAGGGTCATGTAGGGGGAAGAAGACTGGCAAAGGCCTGCAGGGAAACAAAACGATGTTTGCTCCAGAACTGAAAAAGCTCAATTTTGCTGAAGAACAAACGGAGTGTGAGGAGTGGCAAAAACCAAGGCTAGAGGGATTAGCAGGGAGCAACCATGCAGAGGTTAAGAATATTGGAATGTATCCTAAGAATAACAGTAAGTCACATAAGAGTTTTAATTAGGAAAGTTCCCTCAAGATGTAGTGGAGAGGATGATGAGCAAAACTGGACAGAGGACAGTTTGGTAGGAGGCATGCAGAAAAGAGTCATTTAACATAGCAGGCCTGAGATGGCTTGTATTCTTTTGCTACAATAAATCATAGCTATGCACATGACTATATACTGAATCCTGGGAGTTGTTCTAGAGGATCACTGAACCTGGGGGTGATTTGGGGGACTACCAACACAGTGGTCTATCGGAGTAGCCAAGATAGCTAAAAACGGGAGGGAGAGTGGGAAGGTGGTGAGATAGCTGGATCTATTCAGGATGTGGAGCTGGAGGAGCTGGTGATGGGGTGGCTCTAGAGAAGAGGGAGAGGGAGAGGGACAGAACAAAGCTCAGGCTTTACGCTCTTTATCCCAGTGGCCTCTTTTTCAGTGTCTTGGAATTCTGTGCAAATATCTCTGTAAGCACTTACCACACACCTATTACTGTTATTTATCTGTGTATCTGAATGTCTACATTTTAATTTTCCTATGTTGGTCCCCAGTTCCTACATACCAGCTAAGAATATACTGAAGAATTACATAAGTTCTCTTGGTATTACTATTCGATTCCTTTAATTATATTGATCAACACACCTAGTATGAAATTTATGACATAAAAAAGTAAGAAAATTAACAAATTACTTCTCTTTAATTTTCTTACTTATAAAATAGCCAGAATGGTATTTCAGGTTCTTTTTTTCCTTAAGAGATGGGGTCTTGCTATGTTGTACAGGCTGGATTTGAACCCCTGGGCTTAAGTGATTCTCTTGTCTCAGCCTCTTGAGTAGCTGGGACTATAGGCGTGCACCACTGCACCTGGCTCTGTTTTCGGGTTCTTATAAACATTAGCAATAACATATAAAGCAAATGTTTAACAACAGGCCCTCAATATTACAATTATGATTATTCTTTAGCTTCCCTTAATATTAAACTTAAAGGGAAAATTAATTTAAAACTTTTTTATTAACCCTAAATACCTAATCCTAATTTACAACTGATTAGATTGTTTTCTAGTTTCCTGATCACACATATATAAATTTAATTTTTCAGGAAAATGAATAATAGAGCATAGTGATTTCCTTAAAGTTGATAACAAAACTAAATAACAATAAATACAAAGCAGCACTTACTTTGGTATTGATGGTAGAGCCCGTTCACCTTCTGGGGGGGGAAAAAAGGAAAAAAATATGAGGTTCTTCTTATTCCTTTTGAAAGGATTATGCACAGGAAGCAAAGAAGAAGGATGAGTCCTATTCTGGTATTTTGGCAATAACCCTTTAGAGAAAGTCATTAAACTATCTTAGGTTTTCACAGTTTTATTTTTAATATTCCTAAAAAACATTAACTGTTAGGTACAAATTGTTTAAAAGGTTCCAACTAATCATAACAAAGCAGTAAGAGCGTAAGTTGGTAAAAGATTTCCTTCCCAGGAGACTAAAAGATGAAGGATTTCTTATGATGCAAAGGACCGAACATTTGCATTTTGATAAAACTGCTCACTATTAACACCAAAACCTGTGCTGGAAGCACAGAGAAACACAAGGAAAACAATTCCACGGGTGAGTGTAGCTGTCAGAGGAATTAACATGCTTACAGAAGACAAGGCCCCACAAAGGCTCTGGAGGGGTGACCTGAAGGAGCCCTGCACACACGGGTAGCTGCAAAGTGTGCCCGGTAGCCATCTACTGACAGTGTTCGGGGTGGCCTCAATGAGAAGGACAGCTCATCCCTTTGGGCACAGTGACTGGCTCATGCTAGCCCAATCACAGTGAAGCTCAGGACTTTGTTCAATAGTTGGGGGAGACGCTCTCTCTCCACCAGCCCTTTTGTTAACTAGGAAGTACCTGGGGCCTTCCCTGGTTTAAACTCTTTAATCTGAATTAGTCTAATTGCCTTCTAACTGATCCTGTCTTCTAATCCATTTCTGAGCTAAACTATAATGGAATAATCTTTCCAAATTACAAACTCATCAAGTCATTCCCCTGCTTAAAATTTTAGTGTTTCTCAACAGCTTTTAGGGTGAAATTTAAATATCTCGCTTAACCTGCAAAGCACTGTTTCATTTCTAACAACACACAAACACTGCTCTGGCTCCTGTCTTCAAAGTGTGTGGTGAAGTGGGGTGAAGTGTGGGGAGGTACCTATCACCCATTGCTCTGGTGCCTCCTAAGCAGCTCCTTGGTAACACCCCTGGTGTAGTTACAGCTGTTGCCCACAGTTCTTCTAGCATTTGCCCTTGAATTCATTTCAATCTGTTTCCCCCTGCCACACCTACACACAAATCACTGACATTACCCTTGTTAAGGTCTCCCAAGATGTCCACCTTGCTAAATCTAGTAGTTCACTTACAGGTAGCATTTAACACAGCTAATCACTCCATCTTCCCGGGAACTTCCCTCCCTGGGCCTCTGGGGCTTTCTACTGTAACTATACTCTCGTGGTTTTCCTCTGCCCTCACAGGGCACCTCTTCTAGTCTTCTTTGCTGGATTCTCCTTATCTTCCTGGCCTGACAAACATTAGACAACTCAGCGCTCACAGCTGGTACCTCTTTACCTCACTTCCTTGGTAACCTTGTTCAGGCTCCCAGCTTCCTGCACACTGCACAGTTCCCAAAATGCACCTCGAGCCTCACTTCCCCTGACCTGACTTCTATATCCAGCTGCCTGCCTGAGCTCTCCCTTTGGATGTCTGAAAGGCTTCCAGGACTTGCTGGTGCTCAGAACTGAGTCTTGGTGGGTACATGTGCATACTTCCCATTGTTCGGGTGGAAGCAGGAGTCACTGCAAGGCCTCTCTGTTCCCCAGTCCACATCTAGTGCAGCAAATGCAGGCTTTACCTTAATACTATACCCAAAGCTCTCTTATCACTACCTTAACCAGCACCCCCTGGGCCAACATCACTTGCCTACATCATGATAACACCCTCTGCTTCATCTGTACCCAGGCTGACCTACCACGGTCTGTGCTCAGCATAGCAACCAGAGTACTTCTAGAACATAAACCAGATCACATCATTCCACTCTTCAAAACCCAGTGGCTTCCCAGATCACTCAGAATAAAGTCAAAGCTCTTCTAGTGTCTTTACAGCCTGACCTACCATCTGCCCCCAGGTATTCTAGTGAATAGGATCCCTGCTGGGCATACTCCCCCAACCCCAAGGCCTTAACAAGGATTAACCAGGTATCTTTGTAGGTTCCTTTTTTTACACCTTCAAATGCAATTCTCTCAGTGAGACCACCCTGACCACCTTGTTTAATGTATCCTTTCCCTTCTTCCCTGTTTTATTTTTCTTGAAATAGCTGCTAACCATTTGATATATGTATTAATACTTTAGTGTTTGTTTTTTATTTATTTTATTTCATGTCTGTCTCCACCTACATGAAACTTCTATGCCTGCAGGGCCTTGTCTCTCTTATTCTCTGCTATATCCCCTATCCTAGAACTGTGCCTGGAAAATGGCAGGAGCTCAGCAATGACATGCTGAAAGCACGAAGGGTTTGGCCTGGCCAACCAACCTCTCCAGTCTCATTCTACTGTTCCCTAATCCTATACTACTGCATAGTGTACTTCCCCAAACAAGTCACACATGCCTTGCAAGGCATTTTTCCTTCAGGTGGAAACATTATTCTTAAATCTTGCAAAGTTCAATTCAAGCACTATCTCCTGCAGGGAGCCTTTCCTGGAATACTGCAGTTTGCTTTGGCTGGCTACCCTCTGTTTCTGTGACATCAACAGAGAACCTGCTGCTGTGTATTATACTTCTGCACAGATTGCTTAGCCTGCCCAAGGTTAAGGTAAGACTTAACCTGCCCAAAGACGTCCCTAACACTTAGTGGAGTAGCTGGCTCTCAAGAGACTCTGAGACCATGGTTTGGTAAATAAATAAATCAGACTGGGACCCAAGTTACTCTTTCTGAAAATCTATTTACCCATAAAACAGATAATACCACTTGATTTGCAGGGGTAGTTGTGAGGCTTAAATATCATAGTAAATAATCAACCCACTGCACTAATCTCAATAGGTCATAGGAATTATCCAAACTTCATCACTTGTTGACTTTCTGGACATCCAAATTTCAATCAAAATATCCAAGTCACACTAGGAAGACCAACTTTAGAATAACTAAAGAGGTCTGATAATTACTATCTGACGAATACTATTACCACCCCCACCACCTTACTCACACCCAATACTATCAATTAATATTAATAAGATAGCCTTCCAAATGACATGGTAGGGTGATTTCTAACTGTTTGCACTCTTTGTTGAAATTTCTATCTCCTCTGGAAGAAAAAGAAACCAGTTATTACATTTTTGGCTAATACAGACTTTCTAAGTAGATTAGCATGGGGAGAAAGTCACCTGTAACTAAGGTGATAAATAATCCAAGGAGTAAATTTACTCCTAATAAATAATCTAGGAGTAAATTTTTCTTTTTTTATCATACCCCTAATTCGAAGCTCACTAAGAGTACATTTTTATAAAGAGAGTAACAGAATATTCACAAAATTGACAACAGACACCATCAGTTACAGTATCATTAAAAAAACAAACAAAAAAAACCCAAAAAACAAACCTAAGTACTCACTAACTAAAATGCCCAATTCTGGGAGTTAATTTTTTGAGAGAGTCTCGCTATATCTCCCAGGCTGGAGTGCAATGGCTACCCACAGGCATGATAATAGCAAACTATAGCCTTGAACGCCTGGGCTCAAGTGATGCTTCTGCCTCAGTCTCCCAAGTAGCTGGGACTATATGTGCCTGCTACCACACCCAGCTTCTGGGAGTTAATTTTTAACATTCCTTTAAATTTATTAGTTTTTTAAATGAATAACATATGGCTTACCATGAAATTTATGTGGTGTGTATCTTATTCCTCCTTTAGGAATAAGGACCTATCTTTGCATTACCCTACAGTTCAATTTTGTTGGATTTTTAGAATTAAGACTTTTTTTTTTTGAGACAGAGTCTCACTCTGTTGCCCTGGCTTCAGCCTAGCTCACAGCAACTTCAAACTCCTGGGCTCAAGTGATCCTACTGCCTCAGCCTCCCGAGTAGCTGGGACTACAGGCATGCGCCAATTCTATCTATGCATAACCATACAGTTCAATTTTGTTGGATTTTTAGAATTTAGTCTTTTTTTTTTTGAGACAGAGTTTGGCTCTGTTGCCCTGGCTTCAGCCTAGCTCACAGCAACCTCAAACTCCTGGGCTCAAGCGATCCCCCTGCCTCAGCCTCCGGGGTGGCTGGGACTGCAGGCATGTGCCACCATGCCCGACTAATTTTTATATATATATATATATATATA